ATCTTCTCTGCATTCTTGTACTAAAACCGAAGGCGCAGCGCATCTTCAGAAGGCTACCCATCTATGGATTTATTTCAAGCGCACTAACAGTTGAACTTATACCTCATTTTCTCATGCTGAATCATTTATGAATTTCGGAACGCCTTGGATTCCCTGCCAATGCCCTCGCAGGACTTTGGAACCCCTAATGGACCCCGTTTACGACCCTTCGATCCATCATGCGCTTGAGTTCCGAGTGAAATCGATTCCACCTGCGAATTGATCTGTCATTTGAGTAGAACGCTCACGCTCTCATCAAACTGACATGTCCTCACCGCATAACATATGTTTCACGCGCCACTACGATAAGAGGTGACCGCACCGACATACGTCAGTGAATCGTAAAAATACTCAGAGGGACGTCTTCCTCGCCACCGCCATGACGTTTTTCGTGCCCTTTTGCTATTAAAACTTAACAAAGGGGAAACCCTGAACAAAGAAGTTGTTCCCATGGCTTTAGACCTCAGAAGACCACGAGCTCGCCTGCTGACGTAACCACGGCTTTTATATTAGCATTAAGATTTTATTGCTTTAATGCTTTCCAATCTCTCCAATGAGGCCAACCAAAAACAACCCACAGCGTGCAAGCGTTTTCAGTGCTAATACACATGCAAATGTTTATCCAAAATTGGGGAAAAAATATTGATTTTCAAAAAAGGGAATTTTCGATCGCTCTCTCCATCGTCTCTTTTCTTAGAACCTCGGCATCGATGCACTTATGAGGTTTTTCGGCGCTATCGCAAGACATAGGGGCATTTCTTAGGATAAGCCTGTAAACAGGCATAAACTTCGGGGAAACAAAAACTGCTCCCACACCCTGACGTTTCTCCTCTTCCGTCTGAAACTTAGCCGTTTCTGGCAGACAGGTGTTTTTAGTGGTTATATATGCATTGCAACCACAATGCCCCCGTATCTTGCGATAGCGCCCAGATAATTTTAGAGACCCTATTTCATTTCATGAACTCTCGAATTTTTGAGCGCCAGGCCAAAATCGATGCTTATAGATAACCTAATCTACTGCTTAGTCCTCTAAATCACAAAAATGCTGTCTAAAAGAGTTATTGTGAGATTTATTCTCTTTCAGTACAGGCATTTTTATTTCAGACTCAAAAATTCAAAGCCAAACTTGCTCACGAATAGCCAATGAATAACCCAAAAACGTCTTCAAAAGCCCAACCCTCATCTTAAAAGAATCATAGCGCTCATATTGTTAGGAGGGTTGCAGAAGGGGCATTAAGTAAGTCACAGCACCTATCTTTAAGGATAGAAAGTGATTCCCTGGGGCTGGGTTTGCAAAATTTTTGTCCTATCTGCGTTTTCCCCCCTTGACTTGTCCCTAAATGTCATTACCAGTGATTTCCGAAATTCCCGCTTCCTGCCCCTAAGGACATGATCCCCAAGGACCCATTACCCAACCTTGATAACTTAGGCAGAAAACCGACTCAAATATTTGCTATCTACAGGACCAACTGGAAAGAACTAGCTACGCTAGAATTGCTCCGACCTATACGATAGGATGAAATGGAAAGCAATAAAGTAGCCAGTATGTAAATTGATACCCAAAAAACGAATAGCTATGTCATTTCGGAAATGGACGCTAACCTGATGGTAGCCTTTGGCGCACTTTTACCAGGTTGCGCCATGCCTTTATGTACCGCTCTTAGATGTGAATGGATTGCGAAGCTCCAGGCTCACTACCTTGATTTCGTTTGACCTATACCAGAGCTCCTTTCCGCGGCCACATCTCTGTCCTAGCCTCTCTCTGGCCAAACCTCCCTCCAGCACCTTTTAGCGTTGCATCAAAATTATCCCTCTATCTACCACTCTTAAATATGAATGTGCTTGGACGCTCCGGATTCACTACCTTAATTTCGTTTAAGCCTGAACCGGCTTCATCGACCTAAGCTTCTTCCCGAGGGCACATCTCTGTCCTAGCCTCTCTGCGGCCAAAACTCCTTCCAGCATCTTTTAGCGCTGCATCGAAATTCGCGCCGCCGACTCACAAATGTTTCGACGCCAAATCGAATCACACTACCTTATCAATAGGCAGCTGCTGCTCATCATCGAAACGAAACTCGCCGGCGCCGCGTCGCACGCAGCGGTCTTTTCGCCGATCTCGCGCCTAATATAATCTGTGCGTCAAGTTGCGGATTTCGACGACGGCAACCGCCGCTCTCGCCCTCTCCGAGCACCACGAAATGCTGTTCTATGTGTGCCTTAGCAGCAGACTCACCAAAACAGATTTGTCGTTGGAATCGATTTCGAACTGCCGCCGGCACCGTCATGTCCACTGAGGGATTCACCGCTGCTGCCACCGAAGTCTGTTGAGGTACCACCTGAAAGTAGCATAGGATCGACTCCAGCTTGAGGCCTAGTCGGCATCTACCACGACTTCGTATAACTCCACCTTACGGATCAGGAAAGCAGGCTCTGACAGGAAATTGAACAATCAGGAAAAACCGCACTCGTCCGCAGCATCTATTATAAGAAACGTCTGTCACACACTCACTGACATCCTCTGCACTTTAGGAGCAATTTACGACGATCGCGTCAATCATGGACTTAGGCAGATGCATTAAGGGCAAACATGAACGCCTAAACAGCTTATAGCTTGTAGATACCCTCTTCAGTCCTCCCGTTGAGTGGGTAACCATTTGTTTTCCCCTTCAGAGGATTACTGGTCTCTCAGCAGAACGCCCAGATTCTCAACGTTAACTTTATGAGGTCCTAACACAGTGACACTCAGAAGGGTCTCTTAGATGGGTGGAGCTAGGTCATGATTATCGTGATCAACCAGCAAACATCCCTGCCGGACCGTTACGGGGTTTTGCGATTGGTCGTATCCTACGGACCCAAGAAAACCCGCTGAGGACCAAAAATAACTGGTAATAGAGCGTCACAGCTACATAAACAAGTAAACTATAAAGGCAAATTCCGGGATTTCTGGCGAAATTTGGGTTTTCCCCGTCAAATATGGAGCAGTACGCGAGGGCAGACCATGTGCAGAAGTGGCGGGGCGTTTCGATAAGGTTTAGGCGCTAGGGGCCTAGGTTGGAGCATTGGCGCCGCCCCAAGCCCATTGAGCCCGCCCACCGTCCTACGTGATCTTCCAAACAACCACCTAGAACGCTAGATGTTCACCGTTGTTTGGAAAGTCGTAGGGGAGTATTTAGCGGATTTCAATTGCGAAAAACTGACATCAAAGCCTATCTTACGAACATTTTGGCGGACGTTGTCATCATGCTAGTGAGAAGAAAAAATTTTAAGATAGGAAGAAAACAAAAAAGCACAGAAAAATAGAAAAAAAATAGGGAAACTAGAAAAAAAAAACAGTTTCCATTGCTGGCTTTTTTAGCCGTGTCGGTTGATGGCACAAAGCCAACAGTTGCTGTAGACATGTCCAAACACGTAATTTTCCCAGCCCTGGTTCGTAAGCGACTAACGAAGAGGAATTTCTAATTTTGGAGTTCTTTGGGGGTATTTCCTGCTTCTTTCATTATCTTCAATCAACATAGCACCCAACACACTTCATACTCGAACAGGTGAGTCCCTCGTTTTATCCCGGCGTTTGACCCTTTAAGGTATAGGATATGTCGCTGGGCCAAAACCTATGATAGAATGGCGCCAGGCATTCAAATACATTCCATCAGAATCAGGTGATATTTTGAAATACTACTGGATGTTTCGGATGATTTTCTTTAGGGGCCAGCCATGTTAAATGGATTCACCCAGGTTTTCCCCCCAGACAAGCCTGGCACTAACCACTGAGAGATGGAAAACTTGATTGGCCTAGAAAGCATAAGATCCTGGATCAGGATCAACCCTAGCGCTTATACTCTTAAATCTTCACGACCTTCCCCACCTTACCCCCACCCATTAACATGTTTAGCGGCGCTTTTGAATACGAGTGTTTACTACACCGTCGCCTCTAAGGCTTGTTTCCTTAATAAACTCTCTACCGAATAGTCAAAAACGTTTGAAACGACCTCCCTCCCCTCCCGACCCTCTAAACGTCCACAAGACTTCCCCCTTTTCGCCATTATGATATTCGCCAGCCCCACATTTGCCCCCTCTCCATTCCCTAAACTCGCAAATACCACTCCCCTCGTTGCACGGCACCGTACCACCACGGCTGAAGCTGCTCTAGATTCGATCCCCTTTCCTGTGCGTGGTGAGCGACACCACTTTCCTCTACTACACTTCGCTTCGAAATGAACCTCGTAAAATTAAAGTAAACAAAGGCAACAACATGATAGTCAAACAGATTACGACACCAAAAAGAGTGAAATATTGCAAGGAAAGGTTCGAGAGTAAGAACGGACGTCCCAAAAATCATTCGTCGCCAGCACAATTTGCACAAGTAGTAGCAATTGCAAACAAGTTTACGCCCAGGGACCAAAAAAAAAATTTTGTTTTCTTACTCAAGAATGGTGAGTTGCAATTTTCAGTTCTATTTTAATGATATAACTTTAATATTGTAACGTCTTGCATTTGCGTCAGCGACACGCACAAAAAGAAAGAAAAAGTCGGCATACGACCGTTCCGGCGAATTCTTCCACTGATGAAGGGATTGGACTGGGTTTGCCACTCTCCCCCTTCCCAAACCCTGCCCAAACACCATTCGTACCTTTGCCAGGACCCAATATTTCCACGAAAGGTTAGCACTCTAATCGCGCAACAACTAATAAGTTCAACATTGGGCCGTTTTCCATGCTTTCATTCATCCGTGAACAAAATCGCAAGTGCAAAAGCAGCAGCAGCAGCAGTTTTGTTCCATTTCATCACGCAAATTCGACAAGAACCTTATCGCCATGAATTTCCGGGCGCCAACGGTCACCATATACCTCGAGGGATCTATCGGCAAAAAAAAAACCGAGAAAAAAGAAAAATAAACGAAACCGAGAACATCGGGAACAGCATACTATAATCTTGATCGGGGCTAGCATTCTGTCCAGTTGCCGCATGAACTCTTCGTCTTCCGGTTGAATTGCTGGTTTCTCCACATGCACGCACACTTTCTCGTCCGCATCATCTTCAGCAATTATCGCTGGAGGTCGCTCACTGTCACTACCGTATTCCTCACTGAAATTCAATTATTATACCGTAATCCGCATGCCTGCCGACTGTAACCCCGCAGATTCTTCGGGCTCAAACGAAAACAAAATTTCTCGAGTTTGAACTTTGTTAAGGTTAATTCTAGGGTCTTTCTTCCAATAATGTAGCCAATTTCGACCTATCCCCATTTTTAATAGGCTAAAGAAACTCCAATTCAACCCTAGCGCTCTATGACCCCCTATTTTCCGAAAATGGGCTAAAGAATCAGGTAAAAGTGGCTCAAAAAAGAAACTGGACTGAATGTCGTACATTCTCTAATATTTCCTTTTCAGGTCCACCTATTCTCGATCTCCAAAGTGCCATATCGTACCCGTGCTCAGACTGTGATCCGCCACACCTGTGATATCTGTTCTTTCCATATAGTATGCAATTTATTAGTTTGATAAACAAATTAACAAACGGCTTATCTACACCCATCGCTCTGATTCGAAACCCCTTTTCAGAGCATCATTTGGTACACCACAAAAACCCCGCTGAGTCTGCAGCTGCAAACCGGGCACCCAGTCGGAAATGTATCTTTCCGACCACCGACGAACTTCCTTCCCGTAATAAGAAACGGCCGTCGCTGGGAGCGTTCCAATGCAAACAAATTTGAATTCGACCCTCTCCGTGCACCTTATTGAGTTTCAATTGACAAGCTGAGGAGTGTGAGAGGGACAGGGTGAGAGCGAGAGAGAGAATCCATTACAAAGTGGATGGACGGGCTTCTGCTCAGCTCTGGCCAGGGAAACGGAATCTGCCAGCAGCTTTCTTCCTGCAAAACTTGGCCAGGGATAATTCTATTCAGAAGATTTTTCAAAAGCTCTGATTCCAGTAGAAGTAATTGAAGTAGCCAATTTCCGACATTTGCGAGTTCCATTTCATGAGAAAAGACACCATTAGCGACTACTTCGAATAAATAGGAAGACACGGAGATTCACCCAGTACGGCTGTCCGCTTGAAGTCATGTTGTTTCGTCAAATATCCCTTTTTTGGTAGTCAAATGTCAACTGGTCTGAGTTGATATAAGTGGGGCCCAGTAGGTCCAGGTGGTTCCGTAGTAGCAGTACTACTTTGCCTCATGGTATCTATTCCTCTCACTTGACCCACTGAACCTGGAACCACATGTATCCTACGCGATGGAGTACAGGCTCTGGGGCGATTCCGAGCGTCTCGTTGGTGCGCGGGAAAAGGGTAAAATTCAAGTAAATTGCAGCATCTGCTGAGCTGACCACAATATTGGAGAATGGAGGGATTCGCCAATACTTAAGGGAGGGGGGTCATACCAAGTGTGGCCATAATGGGGTTTTTGCAGGGCAATTTCGGAAGCTAAAAAAAGTTTTCGCGAAATCGTATAACTTCGTATTCCTTCTCCCATCCCGCACTGCCATTATTACATTCTTAATTCCAAAGAGAACCGCAAACGCCCCGTCCCTATCTCGGGTCCGCTATCGCGCCAAGAACGCAGGTCGCAGATCTTCCAAACCGCTCTGCTCCGGGATATTCTGCGCCACAGTTAGCCGTACAACTTGAAGAGAGGGTGAACTCATCTGGTGGCGTCCCCGCTCCTTATCTCATCCTATCTACTTTCGAGAGGTAGGAGTAAGGTTGTAGGTAAGTTGGTGAAGGTAAAAGTACCAAAGGAGCAAAACAGTGCCGGCGTAGTTCAAAAATTCCACTCTACACAATATTAGGTTAAAATCCGCTTATTTCAGTACAAGCTTGCTCCATAACTTTACCCAATAGCCTTCTGGCCGCCCATATCTTTAGTGGATATCAGTTCATTCATCACGATGGACTAATTGAATTGACTCGGTAAATCAAAGGCCCATCATTCAATTTCGTGCCATTCGGCACTTTTACATTAAGCCACTTGGGACAAGTAAAAGCATAGCTGTTTTCTTGAGAAACTCCTTCACTGCTTCATTTCCCAAAAATGCCAGGTGAAACCTTCACACAAAGGCCGCATAATCTCCCATAGATCCACCCATCTTCAAAGCAACAATGATTCAGTCGTGTGGGGTCTATGTATGAGTTATGCATTCATTTGAGACTCGCGTTTCCCCGCGAGAATCGCACCCGCGCCTCCGCCATACGAATTTCATCGTCGTCGCCGTATATGGAAAAGTGTTCAACGACATTACGTCCCACAAGATCCCGATGAAAAGCGCTCGGTTATCCCTTGAAAAACTTCTCTTCAATGGGGCATTACGCCGAGAAAATCTTATAATAAAATGCTTACGTTCGGCACCTCAGTAAATAGATAGAGAGGGAATTCGAGTGGAACTTATAACCCACGTAGAGTCCCCCTCTCAAGCGAAACTCAATCTCACTCTCGAACTCAACTCAAGTAATTATTAAGGGATTGATGGCCGTGTTGGATCGATTTCGAAGCAAGAGAAATCTCTCCCTTTGACGCCCCCCTTTGACTGCCCCCCCCCCCTCCACTGCCCTCCATTCTTGAGTCATGGCCGATAGTGCAGCCGAATCTAGCCCCATCTTAAGCACTTCTATTTTACGGCGAGAGCGCGGAGTCGGGATGGATATGTAACCGATGAGACGGAAAATAGAAAAAAGAAAGAAAAAAGAAAAAAACTAGAAAAAAACCTCATTCCTGAAGAACTTTGTATCCTCACATCTTTAATTTGTAAACGTGCTTCTACCAAATCTCGCACCCCTTGCCCCCCCCCCCCCCTCCCGTTCGCGCTCCATCCTCCGAAAAAAAACGCGAATACGACCACTTCTCTTGACTGATCCAAGGGATGTTTGATACAGCCAAAACTGAACGAACACGCGTCCTTACTACCAGAGTATACCTTGATACGAAATATTGGCCTGCTTACATTACAAAGCACGCTAAGAAAGCAGATAGTGCTGATCAGTTTCTTTTCGAATGCGCCATGCATGCTACTTTTCCTCCGAGTCTTGGTAGCACTCCAAGTCTTGGTAGCATAAAAGTACGCATTTAGGTCCTCAATAAATGCCGACAGCAACAGCGGGCAGAAATCAGTGGGTGTGCATCACCAGAAGAACTTGGCAACAATTAAGCGAACCTTAGAAGGTAGAAAACTAGGGTTGCTCGAGCGGGACCTGATCTAGAACTTATCCCCAAGCCACAGTCTCCCGCAGCTATCTCACATCCACCTTGGGCCGTTTAAATGAAGAATCTTGAGCACAATTAATGAGCCCAGCCTATCACTGCTATGTAAAAGCTACCTATCAGAAGCATTTCCGTGAAAAGCAATTGTCACAAGAGAATAGGTTTTCGCTCATCAACTCGACTAATCTAGAAACAGAGCCTAAAGAAAAAAAGAGAAAGAAAGATGAGTTATGAAGTACTCCATCTTTCAAATCCTTGGCAAATGCGCCATGAATACAGCTTCTATCCAGAATCGAATTAACCTGACTTATCCAAAGGAACGGCTTCATTTCGAAGGAGGTGACAACCTTTCTGTAGCGATAACAGAAGCCAAACATCAAAGGAACGAATCGCGATTAGATCATTGGAGAAATTGTCTCCTTGAGTGGGAACCTTGTCGAATCATAAATTCCAATAGGTACTGACTTTCAAAGAAACGCAACTTAGATAGTTTTTTGCATTTCTCAGCAGCCCACTCAATTCCTAATCCTCACCACATTCCCAGTTGTGAGCTCTTTCACTATCCGTCACGAGTTCTCCAGAAGACTCCTTATGAAACCACAAAAAAGGGAATCCTTCACCCACCCATCTTCTTCTGTTATTTGATGGAGTGATCGATCAGGCACCTTCCTTTCATCCTCTTCTTCTTCCTCTTCGTCAGCACTTCCGCTTGCAAGCGCTAACTGGAACCAAAAAGTGAGTGCATCAGAAAAGACTATAAATACTAAAAGTAATTTCAACAGACTTTGAACTAACATAAAATTTGCCTTCCGATTCTATGAAAACAGATCCCCGAAGTCGTGTTGGGCCTAGCGTATGTTATAACAACCATGCGCGAAACAAATTTTTAATATTTTGAGAGGCCTTCGAAAATTTTCACCCTTCAGACAGAAGTGTTTCAGCTGATCAACTTTCCCGTATGCAGGAGTTCCAAAAGAATAGAACACCCGTCCAAAATGCCAAGAAGATCCATTCTAGGTCCAACCAGAAAGATTGTTTTAGTTCCTATCTTCGGATGGAATTTAGATAAATCGACGGGTCAAAAATACTAGCCACAAACATGGAAACCAAAACTGTTGCGTTACCTCCAAGCAAGTAAAGAGCGGCCAGAGCTGTCAAAACTAGGTTTTAGCGCCAAACTAGCGTCATATGGCCCCTACATACGTCCAAAATGGATGTCTGCTCATGATCAGGTTACCAATTTACACCTAGAGGAGTTTCAAAGCTGATGCGGACAGAGAAACTCGCCTAAGAGAATGGTGCTGCATTTCCTGCCAATTTTGACCGCTCAAGACTTGCTTGGAAAAGAGTTCACGTAGCAGTTGATTTCCTTGTTTGTAACTAGTATTAGTGACCGTATCAATTGATCTAGGCCTTCATTTTCACGAGGATTTGCAACCTCAGGCAGGGCCGAATTTCGAAATGCATCCAATTCAAAAATCTGCAATTTGAATCCGCTCGATCTCCTGGCTGCGTCAGCATTTGAGCCCGTAGTCCGCAGAAACCGTACAAAAACCTATATTCTCCAGGGATGCTTCAAAACGAAACTTGGTATGAGCTTGACGAGCTTAGGGGATTCCTTGATCGAAGGAATTTAAAGGCGGAGTTTACGATGAAGAGGCAGCCTTAGATTAAGGTAGAGGTGGTCATTGGAGCAGGGATGAAGAACAGTCTTAGGGAACGGCTTAACACCCGAGAATTAAGACCCCTTGTTTGCCTGTTGATTTCCATTTGATAGATGCAGGTCTCACCAGTGCTTCCCTTCAAGGCTACGCTCTTTCTGCTAAACGACTAGGATGTGACGGCGGGAGGGTGGGTGTGCCGACGCAGAAGCGGCGCATGACTCTGCTAGGACGTCCTGCGCGGCATACTCTTCGACTGCAGAAGCAACCTCCTGTCCAGCACAGCTATACAAATTCTTGCATTACCTTGCGATGAAGAATACACTTACTTCTGGACCTACAAACCTCCTTCTCGATAAGTAACGAGATTCGAGACGAGGGAACCTATCGCGGATAGAGGAAGACAGCGACTCCGCAAGGGTGCGCAACGCCATCTCAATTCTGCATCGAAGGATGATTGCCTCCTCGACGATCTTGCATGGTCTTTTCGCGGACCACTGGCGTCGAGTAGGCGTTATCGTTTTAAAAGGGGAGTAACGCCGATGGAGTCGCGGCATGACTGAATAACAGCGGGAGGGTCCCATTTCTCGGGTTCTAGACCATTTTCTCGGTTTTTTTGCTTTCGTGCATCACTGACCTTTTTCGCTAAATTTCCAATGGGCTGCCTTTTCATCGTAAAATCTGTCTTTGAGTCTTCTATATTGGTGAACGTAGATCCAAATTTCGATTCTGGATATTGTTCCCTTGTGGTCAATACATTTTTACTTTCGCTCAAGAATCGAGCAGAATGATTTATCCATCTTATTCGGAGCTTTTTTGAGTTGCTATAAAAAGTGCCCACCCCGTATACTCAACACTAGCGTATCAGCGGCCAAAAGGGGCAACGAGAAGGAATTTATTCCCCAACAAGATCACGCTTGACTATGCAATGAGGACGATTTAGCTTCACTAATTTAACAATATAACCACCTTCTCCTTCAACTGCTGTTCGACTTGCTCCACTGCGCTTTCTGCTTCTGCCAAATCCTTTGGAATAGGAGCACTTTTGCGCATATGGCGCATACATTCACGATATTCTGCTTCAACGTCTGCGGGAAATCTGAACATGGAAATATTTTCAATCTGTCGAACCACAATATCAAACTAGGCAACTCAAGAAACCGCTTGTTACCAAGCGAGCTCACCTCGGCGGTTCCATTACCGCTCCGTCTCCGGCCTCCTCAGCACCTGGCACTTCAACCATCACCGCGTTCACATTCCATTGTTCTCGCTTCATCCAATAAAAACGATGGAAATATGTGAGGAAATAGTCCATTTTTCGTCGAGCGCGTCCAGTTTGAAAGAAATCCGCTATCGTGTTCAGCAATTCACACACCATACGAACGCGGTAGAACTCCTGCCATGACAACGGATCCGTCTCCGGGAAGGAAATGATCTGGTACAGTACCTAAAACCAGCAGCAGCTTTTAGACAATAAACAAAGTCATATACAAACCCCAATTCGTCGCATTTTTGTCACCGAAAATAGCCTCTCTCGCCTCTTCCTTTCATTTCTGCCCTTATAAAACCTCTCACTACCTTTTTAACAAAATCAAATCATATCAAATTCCTACACAAACAACTCCGTGTCAACTATTAGTGCCCAAAATGTCTTGAGAAAATTCAGTCCATCTATTCAACACAAAATTACTAGAACAAAAAGGTCAGATAGTAATAAAGACAGTGGCCCTCCTTAGCCACGACGTCTCTCCATCGATTGAATAGAGCACTGATGCTCTTCTTCCAGAAGGAAAAGGGGTGTGACGCGATCCACTTATGTACTGCACACTTGACCTCTTGACGGTTGTTCAATTCTCTAGGTTGTAGGCTTGTAGGCATTAGAACGAATGGTAGTCACAAGGAGTAAGGTCATGTGAATATGGAGGGCGGGGTAGCCAGGTGGAACCGGGTCTCACCAGCTCGTCCGTCGTCGTTCTCGCGTGGTGTGGTCCGGCAGTGTTCATCACAGTTAGAAACATTGGTGAAACTCCAGTTCGGGGGCCACTCCATTGCTATCTTATCCGTAGTACTAGAGAGCAGTTCTTTGGGCTATCGAACACTACGGATAAGATAATAAGTGAACGACTCATTTCGAGCGTACTTTTGATAAGGACCGGTGGATGTCCTACATTCCACACATCCTGCCCATCTTTCTGCACAGGTCATCCACCCTGGAGCTCCTCCACCCTTAGACCTAGGCAGAGGTGTCCATCCTCCTGGGAAACTTTTCTTAAGATTTGTGTGAAATAGAGACTCGAGAAACCATCTCTTGCACTTGTTCGCAGAATGCCTTTTGCGGTCACAGCAGTACCCTCGAGCAGGATCTCACAGAAAATACATCCGTTGAAGCAGAATAAGAATCAGATCATCTCTTTCTTGGTGTAGGGCGCATCCATTGCAGGTTCCTGCGCAGATTTTGATATGACTTCTACTCTTCGTCCTGGACAGGAAACGAACACTTTACTCCTCTCCGCGGAGAACTTTTTGACCACACAACTAGAGCTTGGACTGTGTGTTCAGTTAGGGACTTGGTATGACTTATGGAAGTGCTGCAACGTGTGTTCTGCTTAGAGTCGCTTGGATGGTGGATCGGGGGAGGTAAAGTCCTGCTCTCTTCTCCTCTCAACCTTTGAGAAAAGAGATTGTTCTGCTCTGAGCGGAGGCCCAAATAGTCTCGGTGTTGCAGGAAGGTGGACGTCCGCTATGAGGAGCTTCATCAAGGCAAATATCTCTTCTATAGAAGCGAGTAATCACCTACTGCTTCAGAGATCGCACTGACTTCCTATCGCTCACCATAATTTGTTCCGGGTTTAAGTGGAAGAGCGTCCAGAACGGTAACAGTGAAACAGAAGGCAACGGTAAGCGTGCTGATCGTTCAATCAGAGCTAATTTTCTGCCTATGACAATTGAGCGTCGTTCGCGATATCAAACACACTCTCAACCTGTCGTTTTCTCCAATCTGTAGATAGATTTACTCGGCTCATGCGTGCAACCGCCTTCCAAAATGGAAGCCAATTTTCTCAAAACTTATCGGACACCCTAACAATTGAGTATCTGTGAGGATTTAGTCATTCTTTTGCATAGCCACAAAAGTGACAGAGACTACACCGCTTGTAGCGTACTTTTGAAAGCTACTGTGAAGGAACTTGGAGATAACGGCAGTTCCTTCGTACACGAAGATTGCGGTACCCCTTTTCAGAAAACTGTTCGACATAGGAATCAATTTCCTAGACTTACTTTTTCAAAGAATATGTATTTCACTAACATGAATGCTTGGAGTGCAATCATCGAGCAGATCTTTTTAGAGCTTGTACTATTGAAAAAATGTGACAGCGGGGACGGTCAGGTGTTGTTTTCATTTCAATTTATCCACACTAATCTCGCGCGCTAGTCAGAGGCGACGATCGACATGACAACGTCAAGTTCGCATGGCTGTACTACTATGACGCATCACAAGGGTGAAATGCCGAGCAAAAGTGCAATACTCCTTGAAAAGTCATTTAGGATGTTTGCGCACACACCCATACTAGAGGAAGTCCAACACGAGCGGAAATTTCCGTAGTGTTAAAATAACAAGTGTAGGCAAAATAATGTGGTGGCAAACGGCGTTACTCATCACGTGTACGGACCGGGAATCGAATACCTGATAGAGAACCGTCACGGCCAACCGAGCCTTCCATTACTCCTGGGTTGGCTAATTGGTACCAGCTTGTCTGGGAGGATAAAAAATACTGACCTGAAATCAGCCTAGCCAAAATTCATTGTATTAGGCCGATATGCGCAGCGAATGCCACTAATATTTTATGAAGCATGTGAATGCATGGCGCATGTACAACCAAAGCGATCAATTACCCTACTGCCTCGAAGCTTTCGCACGATCCTGATCCTGAGTAGGGACCTCAATTGACTGTCTGGCTTGAACCTCTTGCATTCTATCCCTGATTAATCAACCTATGTTAAGGAGTCAATATTCCAATATTTATGTTGCGGACTACAGTATTAATTTATACATCAGCCACTTCACCTTCACTGCTCCGTTTCAATTCTGCAAGAAAACGAACAGATTCTTGTAGATTTCTAAAACTTGTAAGGACTAGCGCTAGAAATCGAGTAGCTAAACCACCACGAGTGCGCTTGAAGAAGCGATTACGATAAGGAAGGGCCGCATCAGGAGGAGTATATGCGCTGCGCCACACCGAAGCAGTTACTTGGCTACCAAGGAAGCAAAATGTGGCGCTTCACGACGGAAAGGTGCCCTGGTTTCTGTGCAGGACTTCCGAAGCACTCCGCCTGGAAGCATTACGCCCACTGGCAACCGGTGACATAGCGAGCTGTTTCTGTTGTTTTATTTGGCACGAGCTTTCTCATAGCGCTGTAGCCTTCAAACTTGCCTATTGATGATGCCATCATCAAAACGCCTGTGCTTTGCATGATACGCCTTTGGTGTAAAACACGTGCCAAGCCAACTTCTCTCTTTGCGTGCTCATCCCATGGTCGAAAATGAAAGGGCAATCAAAGGGGTACTATTTTGCTTATTTTTGAACGAATTTCTTCTGCTTTTTTCGCCACTGGCGTACCATGAACACCCCACGTCCACTCTAAACCCTTCCAGAATCTATCGTAATCGCTGCCTCAAAGTTGAATCGCATACAAGTCGTAACCAGCAAAGTTTTCTTGCCCATCCACTTCACAAGTCGCTCTTCAAAACTGGGCTATTTGCCGTCGATACCTCTGCTTGCATGTAATGTTGGCCTTAGCTTAACTTGGTTTTACGCCCGTCTCTTGTTTCCCACAAGCCTCCACGAAGTAAAGAACCCTTCGAGTACAGAAACCTGCTTGTGTCTTCTACATGTTTTTATCACGACCGCTGAACGCGAATCGTAACTGTATAGTAGCTAATGCATTTGTTTTCAAAAATCGTTTCCTCTTGAGTCTGAGGATTTTACAAACGGAAGACTATTTTTGTGGTGTGCTCATGCATACGTTTTCTTCATCAATCATAGAAGCGGCATCGAATGCTCTAGTGATCGCTTTATGAAAGTGCGTGCAATGGTACCCTTTGTATCCCGCAGCCAGATGCGCCTGCATGCAGACCGAACCGTCCCAATGGCGACGGCCTTTCACTGAATGTGAAAGCTTCTGCCAATGAAATGATCAGCCGATTTTTTCATTGGCGAAAGCTATCGCGTTCAGTCAAGGCCGCCGCCACGGGGAATGTTCAGTCTGCATGCAGGCCTCCCTGTTTTTTTGTAGTTTTACCTGCATTAGCGGCGCACCCGGCTGCCGGATATGAGAAGGCTGTGGGTACGGTAATCGATTAAGCGCTTTTGTGTGCAAGTTTACATACGTGTGCATGTTTATATACTTTTCGTTACAGATTCTTTAACTGTAAAGAATTTCAACAGCTTACCTTGTATATCACTGGAGTGTCACAAACACTGTAGTTGTACAACTCGCCAAGGTAGCATGCCGAAGCGATGGCTCTCTGATTGAATAGACCCGGAACTTCCAATGATATTCTGGAAATAAAAGCGTCAAAAACTGCCAAAGCTCAAAACTACGTCGCTTGTAATCTCGGAAATTGAGGTATTCTGGCACTTTTATTTCAATACCCTGATACAACTCATGCTCAACTCCCGAATTTCATGTTCAGAGATATACTCAAGAACTTGAACAACGAGATATGTTCTCATGACTATCAAATCCTCGCACAGATCAAATAGTACTCGCGTCTTGACTCTCTCTAGGGCGACGACTTACGAACTGCCGACCATGGATGATAAAGATGGTTATTTCTGGTGAATAAGCCAGACATGAACGAAATGAACGGAGCGAAATTTGAATTTTTTAATTGAAAGCTTCAAATGTTCACTAACCTTATCATTTCTTGGCATGCATCGATAACATATGTGGAAATCCAGTCATAGTAAGTCAGGCCTTGGAGCCCAGCGACAGCACTGGCCAAATGAAGGAGATTCGCATACGGTAACAACCATGGTGAGGTAAGGTACTTGAGACACCAACCTACAAGTATACCATTTAGGCACCTATTAAACTAATGTACTCTCTGACATAATTCCCAATAATTCAACCGGAGGAATCGAATTGAAAATCTTGAAGACACCGTCAAACAACTAAATCAGCTTACATCTCGAGTACTCCCAGCACTTAAAGGTAGTGATAATGATGGCTCTGCGACGGTTTCAATGACGTCATTAAGCGCAGTTGGTGGACTAGGCTCTAAGAACACGGGATATTGGTGTAGTAGGTACCACCTCTTAACTCCCTTCCACCGATGACTTTCAGTGACGTCATCATAACCGCACCGCCCTCCTCCTTATCATCGCTGCCGTTACATGACCTCGAGCTATCAATAAAAAATAATTAGCAATCAATGTAAGAAAAGCACATTCATGTAAACATGGACTGGTTGCAAACAGAAGTAGGGAAACATAACAGTCCTTGTCAGAAACATTGGGAGTGAAGAGGATGATGAGTGCTGCCGCGCGCCGACGCGTTGCGGCGCACTGACTACGAAATGGGCAATCCAATGGCCAAATTTTCGGTGTCCATTACGGGCATATTTTCAACATTCATTTCTGCTAACAATAAATAAAACTCCGCCTGAATACACAGTAAGACAACGAAATACTGTTCCTAATTTTTCTACCTCCTAAAATTAATATAATGGATTGTTGAGCTACTGAATTAAAGTAGGGAATTCTTACCCGCTACGGTTTCATCGTCCCACGCCAACCTTCTTATGCATTTGATATTCGTGTTCACATTGTGCTCGTTAATATCAACGATAAGATGCCGGATGAAAATCATCAACGGCGGTTCGGCTTGAGCTCGCCTCGCGGCTGCTGAGTCAGCTGGAGGAATACACGCAAAGAAGGCGTTGTCAATCAGCATCTGAAACGATATGGATGAGAAATGTAAGTCAACAGAGTTCATAGCGTTGAATAGTCACTTTGCAAACTACCACAAGTACTAATTGGAAGCGAAGAAAAAGAAAATTTTTATTGTTAAATCTGTGGGGTGACGCCTATGTGGGTAAATTCAAATCGATCTGTATGAGCGAGTAGGTGAAACGAAGAGAATAAAACCTCTTTGGTGGGTTGAACCAGTCTGCTTTTGAAGTAATTTGCAACTCATTTAGACCTTTCCGAATCGGAGGAAAACAGAAATTTCACAAAGGAAAACTACTAGCGGAAGTGTGGAAAAAGATAACGTGTACGTCATTCGTTACCTACTGATTTGCTACAATTCCATCAACTTCTTCTTGTCCAGAATGCTATTCAAAAAAGTTTAAAGTGGTTAAGAAAGTTACCAACTTACGTAATTCCGAAAAAAAATATCTTTAAAAAATGCTCGAAGGCCACTCACCACGTGACGAACGTCCTTAATCCGCTCTTTCTTCTTTTGTACAACATCAAGAATGATTTTCATCTTGGGATGACTATCGCTATTTCTAAAACACGAGTATGAATGAGTATTCGAACACAGTGGGCTTTGCCTTTGGCATGGAAGCGATCCCTAATTCAATTCCAGCTCATTTATAACTAGCTCAGCGTGATAGAAAGAAATATCAAGTCAAGGATTCTTACCGGTAGAGGTAGAATCCAGCCGTTTCAATCATAGCACAAACCATATCCACAGAATGACCACGAAAATCGTATACCAGCTGCCGAAGGCACGATAATGCCTCCGCACGGGGAATCACACCGAATTTTACCTGAACATTGCCAATCAGCTGATTTGAATGAGCCTAAGTTAACCAAAATCGAAACCCAAAGAGAGACAGGTAGGAACATGAATGCACTCAACTCAATTCTCCTAGACATCACACATTTAATTTATCTCAAACCCTCTCTTGACCACTATCTCTGCACGAACTCCCGCAAAATGCCACAAGCTATGGCAATAAGAAAAGTAAATAAATAATAATAATATAGATGAATGAATAGAAGCAAATAAATAACAGTACGGAAAACATTACAATCGCACACATGCAACGCACATTCTAACAAGTCTCTTATGTAAGGCTTCCACGAAACTCTTAATTTTATTTATGTCTACTGCGCATTCAAAACTAACAGACCCGAGTTATGAAAATACCACCTTAACGAAACAAACAACCTCACCCTAACTTTATAATAATCGAGAGACTAGCGCTATCTATCCCAGGGAGGATTGGATCATTTGCTGCGCAGATCACTAAACTGACTTGATGGGTAGCTCCATGAAGCTCCCGTGGACGGCACAGATATTAATGATCGCCGAATTCAGTAAATTTAACACTTGATTAAGTAATCGAAGTGAGCTTTAAAAAAACTCTGACAAATGATCTAGAGACAAATCAAACTGACCTGAATTGCTTTATAAGCATTGTCGACAGCTCTGTGGTCAGATCGGGCATCACCGGGGAAAGTGAAGCAACACATACGTAGCGTAAAACGGCAACAAATCCAAACGTGATGAAGGCACTCCATACAGCACTTTTACAAAGCTTTTTGCGATAACTCTAATAAACCAGACAATAAAACATTATCCAATAGGAATATTCGGAACAATTCGTATGAGCTCGCTCACTTACTTTCGTATTCAAATTTGAAACGAAGTCGAGGGCACACTGGTCCGTGGTGTCACGGTTAACGAGGTGATCGAGATTTAAGAAGAATTTCTGGGAAAAAAACCGTACAAGTTTTCAGATTAAAGAAGTGCGAGTGTGTGAAAAGTGAGCGATAATGAACTATCTACATGACAATTCTTTTTATGAGTTTCATGAGCCGCTTCATTTTCACCATAAAGTAAACAGGAAACGAAAAAAAAAATTCAATTCCCTGATGCTCACCTGAGCAAGTTGCTTCATTTCTTCGGAAGTGATGAGCGAAGCATCACCAGCGCTCGTCATGTCTTCATTAAATTGAGCTGGTGATGGCGGCGTCTTTGGCCGATACGGCTCATCTACGTTTTCTTCCCTTCTCCCTAAATGCGACACAAAAATTTTCAAGCCAACTCTATGTGGGGAAAAAATCTAATTTACACCTCAAACCCCACCCAATCCGTCAACTGTCCTCAGAATGGAGCTCAAAGTCAAAAAAGGCCATCAAATAAAACCAGATTCCGAAAATTCACACAGCTACAATGCCACATACCCTATATCTGGATCGCCTTCACGCTCCGAAGGTTCAGCCTCAAGACCATCGACATCTATATCATCCACAGAGGTCTTCAGTTCGTTCTCTTGAATCGTTCGCGCTCTCTGATTCCTGAACGAAAAGCCTAAAGCTAATCTTTTTTGACTGAATGACTTAACGAACGCGAACCTTGTACAGACTCCGTGGCACAATATTCCTGATATCAATCAAATTCTCGTAGAACAGACGCGATTCATCGTCTGGCCATAGCGATACCTGCCCCTCAGCGAGAGCTTTATCCATCTACAAAAAAAAACGAATCTAATTAGATGATACTGACAACGCATACAACCAACATTCACCTCCATCGCTGCCATTTCGTCTTCTTCGTTATCGCTCGGCTCCTCTTTTAGCTCAACCATCGGTACTCCAAGCGCGCTGCTCAACTCCGCTGCCAAAGCTTTCAAGCGCTCATACTCAGCGCGTGCTGTTTCCAACTCCGTCTTTTCCTCCACTGTTGCGTCACCTGAACTTCACAAGAATCTTATCCGACGAGATTGAATAAAAACCATGAGTGGAAAAGACTCAGACCTGCATTAGTTGTGTGAGAGAACAGAACAATATGCTTCTATCATTATCAGTTATTATATATTGTTTTGTTCAAAATCCCTAATTATGGGCAGAGTGAGAAGTTAGGGTAAACTGCACAGTCCTTTTTCAGATCCCGCTTACGCTTGTCCAGAGAGCCTTTATGTTTGTTCTGAATTTTGCTCTCATCGAATATCGCCTTGTGCAACAACATAAGAAAAAAGTGGATAAGGGGCGTGCCATGAAACTGCGGATGTCACAATAAAAAAAAGTAGTAAAGAAGCTGAGATGGTGAAGCTTACAATCATCGCATAAAAGTATGGTAGGATATTTGAATTCAGAGATTTGACGGCATACAACAAGAACTCAAAAAAAAATAGAGTAACAGGAGCCAGCCAATGTAAAAATAATAATTCTTTCTTATCTAGTGCTCGTATAACTTAGATCGGAAGAGCACAAAATGGCGACATGATAGGACTTCATGAATGTGCTCCGACACAAAACTTTGTGAGCCACTTCCTAGGAAACTCAACTAAAGGAGGTAACCTACCCCTTGTCCTCCTCATGGCGTTCACTTCTCTGTCCGACATTCATCACAGCACAAGCCTTCTCCAAATGGCGAATCAATCCAGTATGATAATTCGTAAAAAGATCATTCACGATCTTTCGATGTTCCGGAGTAATCGCTTCATTCACTTTCAAATCACCTGCAGATACTATTCAAAAGAGAGTGTAGACTAACGGAAAGACGCTAAATCCATTAACCTTCCTTGATCGGAATTCCTTCATTCCCTTCTGGTGATGGAACAATACCAGAAATCTGCCATCCCACTGGACGGCAAAGCGAACATATGAGCCCAACCTGCATCATAAAAAGCATGAAATTAGAAGAGAAGTTTCTAATGAGTTTTAGAAAGTTATCCTATTATTCTTCATATATTCGGAGACCTTAACGTCAAATGATCATGTTTTTGTCAAAATGTTACAGGTCATTATATAAACAAGGAATGAAAAAATATACTCTAAACTTGGGCAATAAGAAGATTCAAAATGTTCCGTTAAAATCATTACTTGATGTAAGGGAACGTCTAAATACAATAGCTTGCCTGGGCTGATCCTGAAGGTGAAAAAAGAAAAGACAAATCATCCAAAGAGGTCCACAAAGAATAGAGATAGATATCTCCTATGCCCTCCTACCCAAATTCAACACTTAACCCCACCCCTTCTCCTTTCCCCTTCTATATATCAAACAAATAATAACACCTATAATAGAAAAAGGCTTCAGAAATCCGAAAATCTCAGAATAAAACAGCTAACGGAATGTGTTCAAAATAAGCATGAAAAAACGAAACAATTCACTAAAGCAAGCATTAAATGTACCCACATTCAAGTGTTCTCCCTTGTCTGTGATACAAATATAGGATAGGGTTGCGCCCAAAGTTTGCAAGCCTTCTTTGCCCACAACACCACAGAGAATCAGCTCACAAAGTAACCTGAAACAAGAACTTTCTTACTAATAACAACAAATAGGGCAATATCGATGTGGCCCGAACTGCCAAGGAAAGCCAGCTTTCAGGTCAATGCTATAGTGGTAGAAAAAAGTATAAATTCAAAGCCATTATACAGTACACATTAAAAATGACAAATAAAATGAGTGAAGAACTTCATTACCTCACATCAATGCGCAATTTGGCAGGGTTTAAGATCTTATCGGCACGCTTCAACGGCAAGCCTTTCTTGATCTCAGTCAGGATCAATTCGGAGAACTTGGGATATCGAGACGCAATGGCTACACAGAGATCCACTATTGGAATTACATCTGACGGCTTTAACTTCGTCTCGGCGATACCCTTCAAAAACAATGATGAGCGAATGGATCTCGTGTTGAGAATTCATGTGAACTAACCGCCGCCATTTCTTCGACGAACTTCGAGAGATTCAATCGGGAAAGCTCTTCGATCAGTGAAGGGATGTTAGCGGCCGATAGGGATTTGAGCTTTTTCATGAAAGCCGTCGTCTTTTTAAGCGTTGAATCAAGCGAATGTAACGCATTTTCATCTGTGGATTCCACACTGACCAAAGTAGACCGATGCGACTCCTGTGAATAATAAATTACTCTAAAACGGCAGACAAAACTAGCCGATACACTGTTTGGTAGTGCCCTCACTTTCAGCTCTGGGGACCTCGGGTAGCTACAAGGGTGGTGTCAGAGTCTGCGATCCATCGCAGGTTTCGCTGATTTTCGCGATTGACCCGTCGCGTGAATGGCGAGAATCGCGCAAATCGCGAAAATTTGCGAAACCTGCGACGGATCGCGGACTCTGACACCAGCCTAAGGAAAGGAAGAGCAGAGAATGCTGATTTCATGAATCCTTAGAGAAACTCGTTCTTGCTGATTACCCACTCTGATACTAGAAGAAAAGTGAGAACTGATTCAGATATTCAAAGGCGTACTGTAAGCTAAAATAGATCGTGTTCCATCAAACCTTGCTGCAGTATTTGCTCGAGTCTCTAGCAAAACGTACCACTAGAAGCTCAAACAAGTCGCTAGCTTATCAAGATTTTTAGGTTTCCACAACTTTGGTAACTTCTCTTTCCTTTTCGTGGCATTTATTTGCAATGAAAACACGGACCGAGCCACCATGAACTCTAATGGGCGACTGCATCATCAACGTAGGAACTGAGACGATGTTCCATTACGCCATAACAGCAGCATTAAAGCACAAAATTATTTTTAAAAAACACTGTCGAATAAATCTACGGAAATAATGCGCAAAGCTCATGCTCACAAAGCCTTTCAGAGCTCTGCGTTCAACTTCATAAAAAGTTTAGCATTCACCGCATAAATAGAACTCAAAGGCCAGAAAAAGAGAATCTGGGTACGCTGATGGCTTAAAAAGCTCTCCTACATCCACAGGAAAACCGAACCAATGAAAGTGCAGAATCGTGAGTACCCTACATCAAGCAGCACCAACCAGCCCCACTCAACAGGCCTATATGCCATTCCCAAAGAGCAAGTCTCCTCTTTCTCGTTTAAGGTGTGTCAAGAGAGTCACACGAAAAAACTGGGTCGGTGCACAACGTTCAGCCAACAGCACTCTCAACTCTTTAAAAAATCGTAGTATCTGGAATGGAGCTTACCTGTGCCTCAACTCTCTTATTTGTTTCTTGCACCCATTGTTGATCGGCCAAACGTGGCCAATCTGTCATTTAATCTTGAAATTACAACGTAATATATCTGGAAATGTTCTAGTTCGAGTACAAAGCAACCAACATTGTGTAAATGTATTTAGGTCATCATGATCGAGTGAAAACGATTACCCATCCACGCTAATCTTTAGATCTTTAGGCCGTTTTCATATACGTTTTGGGAGATTAGAAGATTCAGCTGAACAGTCCCATACGTATAGGTCAGAAGAGTGTAGCAGACCCAATCCCCAATCAAGACAATCAATACTTATACTCATCCAATATCCAATACTCGCCGTGAAACCTCCTTCTCTCCTGTTTTACAGACCAGCAAGCCCTTTTCCACCTCCTCTTAACATCCCAAATCGTTGAGTATGAACGCAACGCAAGAGCGATGCGCCAGCATAAGGGACCAAATCCGCTCGTGCATACTTCGAACCGCTGGCTCATCCATCTACCCCTCGGTAAAATAAATCAAATATAATTTAAATTAAATATAAATTTTATATAATTGTTCCCTGCTTATTCTCTATCACATATGTAGATTCCAAGCAAAACCTCAAGCATGGAGCATCCGCTTTGTTTCCCCGTTTCCACCCATCTGTATAGATGTATCGATTGATTAAACGAATACTTCATTGATACATTCATTAGAACGAATATTCATTCATATAAATAGGTAGGACCAGCACGTTTCCAGAACTATTCTGAGGAGTACACAATTGACTTAAAAAAGACAAACGTTTCACGAAGATCACTATCATCAAAACAGTAAAAGTAAAAACACAACAACATCAAACACGGTTAACAATGCGTACATGGGAATTGCAGACAGAGATTACTCGGAGGAACATTGAATTACTTAGACAAAGATAAGTTTCGAGAGTGTGAATTTCGTTACCAAACACCACTGCGTCTGTCCCGCGACCTGGCTCCGCCGCCACCATAACCGCCACCTCCGTACCCACGGAATGGGCCAGGACCTGCTGGTTCGTATCCGCGGCTATATCCACCTCCTCCGCGCATCCCGCCGTAGCCACCACCGTATCCGCCAAGATCTGAAAACAAATTATGAAATAAAATGGTCGACGGAAATTGCTTTTCGAAGCAGTTGTAGGAGGAAATGTGCGTACCGCCGTATCCGCCAAGATCTGAAAAATAAACATTTCAATAAAGAGTACACACACAGTACAAATAGACAACTGAATATTACCTCTGGGTGGAACTAGAGCCAAAGGCCTAGGAGCAGGTTGTCCACCAACTACGCGCCATGTCAACCTTCTCATTGTATGTGGCATATCGTTTGATCCGAACAGTTCCACGTACCTGAAAACAGAACTTTCGAATAAAAGAGCATTCCACGAACATTCTATAGTTATACCTTTTCCCCATCATTGCTTTGTTTCTTGAGAAAGCTTCATGCGCTTCAGCAGTTGTGCCAAACTCTACCACAGCATCCCCAGACGGACGACGATCCTCATTGAATCCCAACTGAAAAAGGCACACTATCAGTTGCTTCATCTGCACAGTAAGCTACGGGTTTCCGTACACAGTAAAAACTAACGCTGATTTCAATGCATCGAAGAGGTGCGAAAAACTGCTCAATCATGAACGCATCAGCATCGAATGGAAGCCCGCGCATGAAAATCTAAAAATGTTTCCTTAAACGTGGTTCATCCACTAAATTCTTGTGAATTGGACAGACCTTTGTTGGCGGAACAAAGTCGTCATAATCATCGTATCTTCCGTAACCACCTCTTGGGATATCATATGGGGCCGAACGCATGCCTCTCATACTGCGAGGCGAGCGTCTAAACAATTCCTACTGATTTATGCAACCTGTAGGTCACAGAAAAATAGAAAAGAAAAATGAGTAGGAAGTGGGGAGTGGTATAAACATACGCCATATAGTCGTATCCCTTGGAGTCAAACAGAGGTCGGATGTAGCCGCTCTCGTAACTGCGAGGGCGGTTACGCTCCATGTCGTCCACTGTGGTGCGGAACACTTCAACATACCTAGATAAAAAAAATCGATGAAATTGTTCTCGATACATATCTTTATAAAGTGAGACAATGTGCAAGCATCGAGAAAGGAGTGTGCATGGACGAAGAAAACAATGGTAAATCGAGAACGGCATTCCGAAGAAAACCCTATAACATGAGTGATCATTGCAGTCTAGAACATGAACATGAATTCAAAATTGAGAGTGCTTGCAAAGAAAAGACTAAAAAAAACCTGGACGTAATGTTAAAAGTGATCCCACTCTCCCACCTGCTTCCCATATGTTGCTTGTTGAAATCGAGAGCTTTGACGGCTTCTTCCCTGGAGGCAAGTCGCACGAAAGCTTCCCCGCTAGGCCGCCCTCCCGTACGCCCGAATACCACCTCTTCACAGGTTAGCCCTGACACACACCACCAATGTTTTTATGAATACATACCCTCAAACCAGATGAGGCAATAATAAATTCGGGAAACAATAAAAACAATAAATAGCTAAAAACTATTTTATTATTAACTAATAAACAAAAACATATGTTATTTCAACTGCATATGCATTTTTTTAAGTATTGCGTTGAGGAAATCCGGGAATAGAGGCACCATGACCCAACTCCCTGCCGCAACACTGACTTCCTATTTGATACGAAATTTATAATAGAAATTTGAAAATTATCATTGAAAAGCAACTAACTTTGGAACGCGACAATGAAGAAACGCACCTTTGAAAAAGTCCTTCACGTCCTGTGTGGAAGCGGAAAATGGCAGCCCGCGCAAGCGGATTACTGTCCCATCATCCGAGACAATCCCAACGCGCTTCAGATTGGTAAGTTCATCGTTGGACACGGTGAACACTGAAATATAACAGCTGGCTGATAGCTTTGCCACGACTCACGCCTTAATGTCATTTTGACCAGTGCCTAGAAGTTCACCACCCAATTTCAAACCCATGCTGAAATGCACATCTAAAACTTGCTGACCTTTTCTCGCCTATCAAAGCCCACTGATACCCTTTCCCAAGCGAGGACAGCCCAAAAAAAAGCTAAAATTATCTTAATTTGAGTCAACCCATGCCCCCCTTCCCATTGGTGTTGGGACCTCTGGTAGCCGGACCTTTCAAAACCCATGCGTTTAGTGGAAAATTTCACATTACAGATACAAGTTGGAGACCATTACAAAACTCACCTTCAATATATCTGCCTTCCATTTCCTTCCTGTGAAGATCCAAAGCCTTGAGAGCATCTTTCTTCGAAGGCAACTCGCAATAGCACTCTCCACTGGGCCGGCCATTGTGACTGCTGCTCATTGTAATTGTAGTGACCTCGATACCTGAAGAGAATATTAACTACCGTCGTTGAATACAACTGCCCAGAAACGAAAATGCTTTCCTCACCCTCGAAGAAATTACGAATGTCGCTTTCTTTCGCGGAATAGGGCAGACCACGCAGGCGAACGTAACTCGTTTGTGGCAACTTCTTCCCATCAAGAGACTCCTTGTCGTCTTGATCATTTGAAGACTGCTCTTTATCCTGGTCTTTCTCGTCTTTCTCTTTGCCATTCTCCTCGGCATCATTCTGCTCTTCTTCCTGCTGTTCGTGTTGCTCCTCCTGCTGCTCCTCTTCCAGCTTCACCTCTTCGGTAGTGGCGGGGTTGTTTGTCTCGCCTTCCATGCTCCTTGTGGTAACCATTGTAAACGCGGAAATGTATCACAAGCACTGAACACCCTACAATAGTGGTTAGTGAGTAGTGAGTGATTTGCGGACACCACAAAACACAATGCGTTACCAAGAAAAAGATGGAGTCGAGCAGGAAGGGAAACAAGACAACCACAACTTTTGTTGTGTAACAAGCATATTTTTGCACGACGTGGTAGAAAGCCTAACCCTGCTCAGTGACTTGAATCAAGCTAAACAAACAGCACATACGCCCCCAAGTCCCCACACTAGCCCCAAAATCACTCATTGGAACTTTGGAAAGAGAGATAGATATTCCCAGAAAAAGAAAAGGTATGAAAACCCCAACTGGAATGAAGACACACCGTCCGAAGAGACGCGACGAAGAAATGAACCACGCTGCGCGAGATCCACGCGTCGCGTGCTCGTATCGATTATGCACAACTCTGCACCTACCGTACGCAAAAATTACTACTACGGACTTTTGTAACTTACGCGCAGTTGGTGAATCAAATCGTGTGAATGGAACCTGTGCAACTACTCCTGTACGCTATCTATGGCAACACCGCTGTTGTAGTTACATGGACTTGAAACGAAAATTTCGTCGTAGTTTATTGGGGATGAAAAAATGGCTTACGAGAACGAAGGCAATACGTCCGTGTGAATCAACACAAAAACAAACCTTCAAAGTTCGGGATTAACAGGCCTGGGAAGACGATCTCTTCAGCGTTCCAATTTTAACAAAAGGAGACTACCTTAAGGATGGGGGCGCTCATGTCGTTAGGGGGGACATTAAAATGAGGGCTACTGATGGAACTCGGGAGTAAGCTTTAGGGAGGGGATAGGACTTTGTGAGCAACAATCGTTCTCTCTTGTATTTATTCCCAGTCCTGGGCTTAGTCCTAGTGTCACCTACCAGCGGTTTTTGAATGCCCTGTTCTGGAGATCCCCCTAAAGGACATGAGCGAAAGGACGGGTTATACTTTGCAGATCGTGTGCGCAGTCGATACCTACCAACCACGTTATGCTACGATCATGCGACTACACATGTGATAATTCGTATATTCACGAAAAAACACAAAACCGCAGAATCGCGAAATCGCGAAGTATGGCCCAACGTTGAACGGCGAATTGGAATGGGATGCCAGAATCGTTTCGAATAACAATGAGTACTGGCTCGACACTAGTTGGGCTTTTATCAGAAATGCACTAGGAATCGATAAAGATTCACCAACCATTGTCGCTTATTAAGAAGAACAATCGCTTTTAATAAAAGAAATGCCGGCAATTTGATCGGGGCACCTCGCGACATCTGCGCTCAAATCACTTAAAGCTCGCGTGTTAGGCCTGAGCTCTTTAAGCAGGAGAGAACAATGGTGTACTGAACCAGTTTCGATTCCGGAAAATCGTCCTTCTGTTAGGCCCTAGTCCTCTCGATGCACTTTTCTCAGTGCCCCTGCCCCTGAGCACATGCGCCACCAAAATTGTGAATTAATCGATACATTCATGCTCACCTTTATGAATAGAATAGTCGCCAAGGCACAGATCTTACCCTTTCTAAAAATAGCAACATGCGTTCCAGATGGATGCAAGATACATGCCCCTAGTGTTCCTTCTGCTCAAAAATTGGCATGCTCACCCACCTAAAGCAGATTTCAGGGTCTATTCCAGTTAGGGGGGGCATCATGATGCAGTTTTTCCAGAAAGCTAGGGTAACTCCGAGCCAGGGGAGTGTAGCCAGTCTACGGGGGTGGGGGTGAGGGCAGTCACTTGACATGCGTGAAAAGCTGGAATGTTCGAGTTCACACTAGTTCGCCGAGAAACTGCATCATGATGCCCCCCCCCTAACTGGAATAGACCCAGATTTCATGCCCTCTTTGTGATACTTGAATTACGCTCAGTAACGTTTCTTTCAAGAAATACTTGGGAACAATAGATCCAAAACCTGGTCAACGGCCACCCACAAAGACACACAATTCCCACTTTATAATGTGAAGGTGAAGCGTGAAATGCAGTGGGACAGCCAAAAATATAAGACAGGAGAGAGGAGCACCCGAGAAAGGGTGCGCCCGGGAGCGATCGATAAGCAGAAAGGACGCCGTTAGCTCGCCGGACCACCCACAGCTTTCTCTGGTCGTCTCCACTCAATGCGTGCTCTCTTGAGTTCTGCCTGTCAACCTCGCACCCTCCTCTGTCTGCATGCTCTCTCGCACAATGCTCGCCGACCACCCAACATGAATAGCCCCTTTGCGCCTCGGTGGCCACTGGGCGTCGTGGCGGGCGCCTGTGAGCCAGCTTCTAGGCAGTAGATTGGTGTGGATGGAGTGAGGGGAGGAGTCCCGTGATGGTTGCGGTGTACGGCGACCGGGCGTCCGCGCCAAGCGTTGCGTCGCCAGGGTTCTGCTGCCGGAGGGTGGTGGAACCCGGGCGGTCAAGGAGGGGTGCACGGCTCAGGCCCGAAAGGGAGCAGGCAAAAACCCCCGCGCGACGCAGTGGCCGGATCGCGCCCGCGAGTGCCCGCGCTGCTCACGGCCTCTCCGATACCTTCGGACCTCCGATCGTTTTTGCTCCCTATGGGATCATTTAGTAGTCGATAAAAACCTCCGTCACCTACCTTTTTTGCTTCCTATGGGATCATTTACTAGTCGGGGAAGAGGCAGTGTTGATGGGTTTGGCACATTGGATGGACTATGACAAGCTCAAGAATGGCCAGGGAATATTTTCTTTAAATTTCGCCTTCAGCAGTAATTCTGTGCCCTGATCACAAATATGACATTCGTTTGACACCTTTTGGGGCCAATCCCTCCCCCCCCCCAAGTTTGGCGCCACCCCTTTAACAAATCCGCTAGAAACTCACGTAGGAGATTATTCGACGTTCTGATTAGGAATATAACATCTGTTTTCAATGCTGGCGCCAGTCCGATGAAATCCGGGTCCCAATCAGCGCTAAACCGGCGCCATTCAATGTCATGTAGGTGGTCGGGGTATTGAATATTGAATTATCATTCTAAGTAAAGTTGGAAGAAATATTGAATTATCCCTCTAAGTAAAGTTCAAAAAAATTTTTTACGACCTTTGGGAGTTGTACTGTTGCGGGCATCTGGGTTGTAATAGTGCAATAGGGCCCATTGTCGGGATATGAGGTCACAATTCCTCGGATCGTCAGAAGAATTTGCTTCGGACGATACCGCTGGTATTGATCGATTCAGGGAGAGGGGGTCGCGCTTATACCGCGTCGCTGTTTGCGCTGCTTTTGCTTAACTAAAAATCAATATTCGCTATCAGCATCGAGAATACCATAAAATAACCTAAAATCTGAATTTTAATCCCAGAACAAAAGTTCCCTTGATTTTCACCACCACATGTCCGCGTATACGGTAACCGCGTCGATATAAGGCCGCCGAAAGCCGCATCCCATCGAGGGGTCGGCACAAAGAAAGAGACTGTGGAATTGCGGAGAGGACAGGCGGCCAGACGAGGGGTCGGCGACAGGGTCGACCGTCCGTTCACACTATCAGGACGAGGGGGTCACAATTGCGATTTTGGGAGGGCGGTCGCATTCGGGGTTGAGAAAGACTAACCTAACCAGGTTGTTTGGGAAAAGCGGGATGGGTGATCGTATTTGTTTCGAGGGACAATCATCACCTAGAGTGTTTGGTGGTGATTTCAAGTATGAAGACCATTTTAGGATTTGTAAGTCGCAATGGTGAATGGAGAGAAGGCACTTTCCATTGGCTCAGTTTCATACGAGTCGCTTTGCGGTGATTACTCGCGAACAATATTAAACTCTTACACGCTGTCTAATTAAGCAAACACTCGTGCGCGACGCGTACGTGACAACCACTTCTGAGCTTTGGAGCTCATTTTGATCTGCGTAGTATTATACTCATTTATTCTACTTCTCTGCGTACGGCACCGTAGTTAACAAATTCAAAAAGTGGTCTTCCTAGTTGAAGGTCTCAGTGCCCCTTCCCACCACCATCAGCCTCTAGGAGGCTCCCCCAGGGTCAACCGTCCGTTCGAACTGTTCGAACGAAGGGGTCGCATTTTGGTCGGAAGGGGGTCGCAATTTCGAGGACTGCCAGCCACAGGCGCGTGCGTGGCGTATCCGAGGGCAAGAATTGCTTTGTGCAGACCGCATTAGATTCGATTTATTATGCACAGAGAGACAGTTTTAGGCAAATTACGGTGTTTTTCTTACACAGTTAGGAAATTTTTGAATAGAGAACTGTAATATATTTACATGAGCAAGCGTGAATCTCGTAGTCTTCAACTCTTGTAATCAATCGATATTTTTGTCGAATCACTCAAATTACGAGCGTGGTGTCATCCCTGTGGATGGGTATCCACGTACAGAGGTGATGAAAGGGATCAGTTTGGTCGTCTAAACCCGACTTTGCCCTTGAGGAAATCATTTAGGAGGGATCATTCTTCGTGATGTTGTAAACAATAAGTTATATATTACCAGTTTAGCTCCGCCCGCTACCGCGCGCATTGATAGAACTGACAATCGATGAAGCTTTAGGTTTCACCGCTAAATTATAGCTGCTTCGTTAAATGTATTACTGTCCGTTGCATAGGCTGCCTGTATCTCACTGTTTGATAAGCGCAGTGAAGTGCACAGCTAAAGTGATGATGTAAACAACCACTATGCGTCGAGTATCGAGGTAATTTAGCGGTCGAATATCTCAAAACGGAATGCCTAGTATTCATTATCATATTTATTCGAGCATCCCATTCATCCTCAAGAACTCTAGAAGGAGAAGGGTCGAAAAGTGCTTCTCTACGTTCGTACGCATGTCGTTATATCAGTTCTCATCAGTCGTTATCACTTGGTGACCCCCACCAAATATGTTTGCCGTCCCACCCCCTATATCATGTCCCAAAATCAGCTCCTGACGACTGCTGCGAAGCGCACTATGAATTTCGTGAAATTTGTGTTTCAGCGCCTCTTATCTGCTCTTATCAGTCGTTATCACTTTGTGACCCCCACCAAATATGTTCCCGTCCCACCCCCTATATCATATCTTGAAACCAACTCCTGACGACCACTGGTGCCCGAGCTATGAATTTCGCGACACTTGCGTTCTAGCGCCTTTTATCAGCCCTTATCAGTTGTTATCACTTTCTTTACCCCACCAAATATGTTCCCGTCCCACCCCCTATATCATATCTTGAAACCAACTCCTGACGACCACTGGTGCCCGAGCTATGAATTTCGCGACACTTGCGTTCTAGCGCCTTTTATCA